CCAGCCCGTCGCGCCCCCGCACCCGGCCGCGGGGCCTCGACGAGGAGACCTGCTCCGCGACGCCCGCGCCCTCCGCCGCCGCTGCGCCGCCCGCCGACGTGCCCATGGACGCCGACGTCTGGGCGGCGCTCCCGGACGACCTGCTCCTCGAGGTGCTCGCCCGGGTCCCGCCCTTCCTCCTCCCGCGCCTCCGCGCCGTCTCCCGCCGCTGGGCCGCCGCGGTCCCGCGCGACCCGGCCTTCCTCGCCGCCCACGCCGCCGCGCCCTCCCACGGGCCCTGCGTGCTCGCCTTCGCCCGGGGCTCCGCCCCCGCCCACTGCGCCGCGCTCAGCCTGCCCCTCCGCGCGCGCTACAGGCTGCCCCTCGCCTTCCTCCCCGCCTGGGACCTCTGGCTCGTCGGCTCCTCGGGCGGCCTCGTCTGCTTCTCCGGCTTCGACGCCTCCTCCGTCTTCCGCACCCTCGTCTGCAACCCGCTCACGCAGGCCTGGCGGGTGCTGCCGGAGATGCATCACAACCAGCAGCGCCAGCTCGTGCTCGCCGTCGACCGGAAGCTCCGCTCCTTCAAGGTCATCGCCACCAGCGATGTCTACGGGGAGACGCTCCCCACCGAGGTCTATGACTCCAAGGCGGACAGATGGTCAGTGCACCAGATGATGCCCGCCGAGAACCTCTGCTCCTCCAAGATGGCCTTCTGTGACTCCCGGCTCTACCTGGAGACGCTCTCGCCGCTCGGGCTGATGATGTATAGAGTGGATGCGGGCAAATGGGAGCATATACCAGCGAAATTCCCCCGGTCGCTGCTCGATGGGTATCTCGTCGCCGGAGCTCGGAAAAGGCTCTTCTTAGTGGGGAGGATCGGGCTTTACAGCACGCTGCAGAGTATGAGGATCTGGGAGCTCGATCATGGCAGAACTGTCTGGGTGGAAATCAGCAGGATGCCGCCCAAGTACTTCAGGGCTCTGTTAAGGTTGTCTGCCGAGAGATTTGAGTGCTTTGGGCAGGACAACCTCATCTGTTTCACCTCGTGGAACCAGGGCAGAGGTCTCCTATACGACGTGGACAAGAAGGCTTGGTCATGGATTGCTGGCTGCGCAAGCCAATTGTGCAATACCCAGTTCTGCTTTTATGAGCCAAGATTTGACACATCGATCTATTGATGGTTGAGCTGCATTGCGAAGATTTCAGCTCAGATCCTTTTAGGTTTGGAGTTCGGCATCCAGATGCCTGTTTGATGTTCTATTGGATCGTTCCTGTTAGCTGTATCAATTGGCAAGTGCTAGGTGAATGGTGTCTTCTTTGAGCCAATAATTTAGAACATTTCTAGTACTTGACTTGAGCCACCAATTTTCTCAAGTCATGCCATCAGAGATCCTTCACTACTTCAGCAGTTAGAAGTATTGTTACAAATACAACTGGAGGTCTGCCTGTTCCCATTCCCATTTTTTAGCAAACAGTGACTTGTAAGTGGTTCCATTTCCATATCTGAAATGAAAAGGATCTTGTGCTGTTTTACCCGAATAGTGTTTGATTTGTATTTTCTTTTAAGTTAAAAACATGAGTTCACTTGATCTGTGATGGGAGTTAACCATACGAGTGAGCATATGATACCTGAATGGTTTCATTGGAATATCAACAATATGGTGTATCGACATAGAAAACAGTCTAGTCCTTCTCAGCTTTGATATGCAATACCTGTAACAGAATGAGGCAACATGTTTTTGTTTTCTATTACCTCCGTCCTAAATTACTTGTCTCACATTTGTTTAGATACGGATGTATCTAACACTAAAACGTGCCTAAGACAAGTAATTCGGGATAGAGGGAGTATGCATGGTGAATTGAGTCCTTCTGAATAGATACGATGACTTCATTTAAGCTCATTGTGGTTTGGTTTGCCAGTGATTCCACAATGGCATTATAAAGAGCGTCCTTAATTAGCTATACATTTTACAAAATGTTTGCAATTTTTCTGCACCAATAAATCAACCCCTGAAAGTGAATGTTCCATTGACACATAAAGGTTACAGCTTTCAGGTTTCATCTACTCCAAAGCCCAAAGAACATTTTCTAACTTGTGTGACATTAATATTCCACTGACATATATAGATTATAGCTTCCAGGTTCCTAGGATCATCTAGTCCAAAGCCCAAAGAACATTTTCTAACTTGTGTGACATTAATGTTCTACTGGCATATAAAGATTATAGCTTCCAGGTTCCTAGGATCATCTACTCCAATGCCCAAAGCACATTTTCCAATTTCCGTAGCATTAGCTGAAATTGCTTCTGCAGTTTGCTGTGCAAAACAATACTCCCTCTGTAAAGAAATATAAGAGCGTTTAGATCAAAACGCTCGTGTATTTCTTTACAGAGGGAATATAATATAAACATGATGCATTATCAGTTCTAAAAAAAATCAAGTATATGAGTGCTGAATGCCTGCCCTGGAATCCAAGACACTTTACCTGTACTACTCACTCTCTTAAGTTGTTACTTTTTGTGAGAGTAACATGGCCAATGAAATGGAAATAATGTCCTCTAGAAGACAAAATTGTTCTGGCATGACCTTTGTCAATCTTTTATGTTATTGCTTCATGTGCTGGATGATATATGTTCCACTTAGTGAGATGTTGAATTGAAGGTTTTCAATAATACTGTCTACGAAAATACATTTGGTTGCTGGCTTGCTGCTTTTAGATGGTGAATTGAGTCCTCCTGAATAGATACGATGACTTCATTTAAGCTCAGTGTGGTTTAGTTGTTTTGCCAGTGATTCCACAAAGGCATTATAAAGAGCGTCCTTAATTAGCTATACATTTTACAAAATGTTTGCAATTTTTCTGCATCAACAAATCAACCCCTGAAAGTGAATGTCCCACTGACATCTAAAGGTTACAGCTTTCAGGTTTCATCTACTCCAAAGCCCAAAACACATTTTCTAAGTTGTGTAGCATTAACATATACAGGTTATGGCTTTCAGGTTCCTAGGATCACCTACTCCAATGCCCAAAGCACATTTTCCAATTTCCGTAGCATTAACTGGAATTGCTTCTGCAGTTTGCTATGCAAAGCAATATAATACAAACGTGATGCATTATCAGTTCTTGAAAAAAAAATCAAGTATATGAGTTCTGAATGCCTGCCCTGGGATCCAGACACTTTACCACTACTTAAGCACTCTCTTAAGCTGTTATTTGCTGTGAGAGTAACATGGCCAAAGAGATAATGTATTCTAAGAGACAAAATTGTTCTGGCATGACCTTTGTCAATCTTTTGTATTATTGCTTGTGTTCTGGATGATAAGTGTTCTTCTTAGTGAGATGCTGAATTGAAGGCTTTCAATAATACTGGCTACTAAAATATATTTGGTTGCTAGCTTGCTGCTTTGCGATGCCGAATGAAGACAAAGTTATGCTGTAAATAATTGCATCTGGAAAGATAGACATGTTATGTAAGTGCAGATCTGTAAACCAGCTACCTGGTTGCTTTAAATTAACTTCTCGGAGTTTGGTAGCTAGCTCTCATGTAAGATTGTAATGCTGGTGCCAGTGTGTGGACGAGATTATTATTTAGTCCAATGCTGCATATGTGCTGGCACATATTCCATCTACCTGGTTTAGGCTAAATTTTTCGTTATTTTAGGAAACAACAAATTCTTCTGATCTTCCCAGCTAGTAGACATCAGTCAAGCTGTTGATTGACAAATAGAGTTGGTAAGTTGTACCGCTATGCATGTTGGCACTGTGCTTGAGGGCTGGTTGATAGTGCTATGTCTGTAACAGGTCAGCCATCATGATTGCACGACTGGTGGTATTCAATTCGTTGCAAGATCTACTTTATGTTCCCTCTTATTTGCTTCGATTGCAACTTATCAAGAATGAGCAGTATCCATGGTCAACAGCCAGGTGGTTGTTTTTTTTAAATTTATTTGTTGGTGATTGTTTGTTTATTTTACTGGTTATAAAATATTCTTGTTAGCCTGATCATATGTTGTTAATCAGTAACTGGCTTCAGAACTGGTTATGTCAAATGCTCAAATTAATCTTGGTGCAGATAGTATGAACAACTAGTAATTGTATCATTATATTAGGGGCATCCATGACTATCTGCTGCAGGTTATCTATCTCTGTTCTTTATCTTCTATTTATATCCATCAAAAGGGTGCACTGTACAGTCCGGCCTTGGCAACTGAAATTAGCTTGGGTGCTGCTGTCAGCCCTATTATTGCCAACAGAAGGCATAATGCACCTGTGATTAAGATAGGCTGCTCCCTGTCTGCAATTATGCAAGGTAACAGCAGTAAGGAAAAGAGCTCTTTATTATTTCTTACATTTTTCAACTGATCTTTGCAAGTTGACAAACAACTTGCCAATTCCAAAGACAACATTTTAGTCTTTGTCAGATTTGAACGCAAAGAAATTCGGATATCAGAACCATCACAAGACGAGTTTTGATCCAAGATGTTCAACACCAGGTAAGCATTTTACATCAGAGTTCCATATTTACACTGCTCACAGCACAACACAAAGAATGTTCAGCAACAGCCAACGAATAGCACTCTTGGTGTGTAGCATCTAACACAATATACACAAGCTGCCAAGCATTTATTATGCAAAACTCTGTTTTAATTAACATAACTGTAAACGTGCGTAGTGGTTCTCCACACCCATCACCAGCCTTTGGTCTCGTCCTGATGAACATAACTTGAGGCAGTTACACTGCAACATCGGCCAAAGTAGTAGATATGATCATATCTTTGTTGCACTAGCTCCAAAAGCAACACGGGCAACAGTACATTATTTCTTCTCTGCTGCTCTGTGCACCTAGTCAAAATTTGCAGGAGGTGCCCAGCCGTTGCTTCATCCGCTGCCCCGCGGCCGCCTTGCATTCCTCCAGCGCTTCTTTCAGCAGCTCCTGGAACTTCTCGATGAAGATGTGCCACTCCTCTGCACTCATGTCCGACAACCTGACAAAGCACAAGCTCGATGGGAGCTGCTCGTCTGCGCTCCTGTTCGGGGCGTGCACACTGCTGTTTGAACTAGTTTTTGAACTGGTCGTTCTGTGAAGACTTGGTGTGCTGAAGTCAGCAGATGAGAACCGATCAGATGAATGTGTGGAAGGCTCCTTGCGATCTTCTTCATCATCACCGTCCTCGTTCACGCTCTCCACGAGCTTTGTCAGAGGGTTTCTGAAGCTGCCCTTCAAGCCCAAGCAATTGAATCTTGGCGATCGAATCACATCACTGTACCCTCCTAACACATCCATCGAGAACTGGAAATCCATGTCCTCTCCTTGTTCAACACTAGGGGAGAACGGTTCCCATTCGTCTACTTTCTTCCTGGCTTCCATGCACACAACCTCCAGTTTGCTGGGTTCCTCCTCCATTCCTCTGAATTCCCTGGTCATCATCTCACCTATCTCTGCCAAGCAAAGCCCGAAAGCAGCAGCCTCCTTGAGGAAGATTGTGCATAGAATAAGCACTCGGAGGCAAGCCTCGCGTATCATCGGCAGTTCTCCGCGCAGCATTGCAGCATCCCTCATCGGATCAAGTTTGCTAATGTACTCGAGCTCTTCCTCGGAGAACGGAATTGATGCTTGTGCCCAGTGTATCCACTCGAAATAAGGGTCCTCCAAGTTCTCCGGCAAGCACAGCCCATGATCAATTGGGAACAGCTCTGTCTGGCAACCAAAGCGGCCGGTGCCTCCATCAAGCTTCCTCACCAGGACATTACCGCCATGCCTGTCAGTGTTGAAAATCCTGATGTCTAATATGCCGATCCTGTGAACAGCAGCAACCGGGAAGCTTGAAGTGCCGTGGTCACTGGCATCGAAGTCATGAGCGATGAACTGCTGAAATGAAGCAATCTTACTGGTGACCTGCGGCTTATGGTCATGAGCCGGAGTGCCGCCATTCATCGGACGGTTGATATTGAAAACTGAGTGTGTTATCTTCACCAGAGCCGTTGCAGGAACATTTGCGAAATTCTCATGATCTAACAGGTACGCCGCGACCTCCCTGAACCCTGTCTCCCCTACCCGGACGGACTTCTTCAGTCCCGGCTGGCCAAGCGCTCTCCCGGTGAACCCTTTCGGGTTGTTCGGGGCGAAGGGCTCCTCATCTGTGGGCTTGACAATGGCAACTCTGTCGCCCTCATCATT